TGGTTGGATAAATATTGGTGGAACCTTCAAGATTGGGGCCCTTGAATCACCCATTCTGTGGGGAAATGAACTCAAGCCCTAAGACTCAATCTTCAGGCAAACAATAGGTCTATAAGAGAACAATAACACAAGGGAGGTACACACACCTTAGAATAATTAACCATTTGAGATCAAAAGGGCAGCACTGAGACCCAAGGGCCAGGAGAAGGGAAGGAGAAGGAATGGGACAGGAAACAAAGGGAGGAAGTGCAGTAAGTGATGTTTCATGGTGCAAATTGAAATAAAACTAATTATTGAATGAAAAACTGATCGAATCCTCATTCACTAATAAAAAATTTTTTTAAAAGCCTGACGTTTCAGTTTTCTTTAGATCAATTGTTTCTTGATAGTATTTTAATCTTATTTAAGAAACAATAAGAGTTTCAGAAGCTTCCAGGTCCTCAAGAATAGAGCCTTTGCACTAATCAAATTTACTCAGCATGAAACCAAATGACTATATGTATAAAATCAGACCATAGGAATCTAACAATGAATAAAATCTAACATTTTTTGTAGAATGACATTTGGCATTTGGTCCTTAAATTAAACAAGAAATATTAAAAGAAAAATATTTCTTCAATTAAAGAAAAAAATCTGCATGGTCATGTGAAAAGATTCCAATTTTCTAAGATAAAAGGCAAGATCAATTGTATCATTTTCTAAGATAAATTTTTCCTTTGTAATCTGAAATCTCTTCTTTTCTTTTTTTGGCATTTTTGCCTTTTTGCAAAATACAGCAATTTTTCTTAGCCTAGATTTTTGTAAGATCTTTGCTTCACATTTTACCACTCCTACCCCTCTCCCTTAGCTGTTACTGTTTGTTGCTGCTGTTTTGGTTTTTGAACATTTTATTGTGGTTGGGTGAAAGTTTGAGCAAATTATCCTTTTACAAATGTGTTAATTGACTTATGTTTTAATATTATATATTTTCCATAAATATTTGCTACATTTGGAATGAATCTGTTTCAGAATTAAGGAATATAAATAATGCTCAGTAAATTTGCCACATGCTTACATTTTCGATTTTTAACTGTACCAGATTACACTCTTTTTAAATTTATTGATACGATTTACCTATGACAAAATATGGTAACATTTGCATGTTTCGTTCCATTAGTTTTGACAGTATGCTCATTTGGAAACTAAAATCCTGTTTGGAAGTAAGAAGAGTACGAATGAATAATTACACAGGTGACAGCGACAATGAAGAAGAGGCATGATCTAAACAGGTGTCACAGTCAGGACCAGAACAGTACCAAAAAGAAGAGGGGAAAGATGGCTACCTTCCATGGTGTTCACTTACATGGGTACTCAATAAAGGTATGATTTATTCATTAAAAAACAGTTTTTGGCTATTTTTTAACTGAACCTGGGCACATCAGATTTTTTGTCTCCTCAAAGTCACAGAGATTCCAGAAATTTATTTTTTAAAAATGCAAGAACTTTACCTGGCTTCTTAAAGCGACTGAATCGCAGAGTGACACAATATTTCAAACTGGTTGTCCATGTTAACTCACTACCCGCCCTAAAAGCCTTGGTAGACAAAAATTGATTGACTTCACTATCAGAAGTGTACAAACACCACATTAAAATACGACTTATGGTCTTAGATAGTCTACTATATTAATTGCAGACAAGTAAATAGAAAATAAGACAAAGGAAGAAAACAATAGGATCTAGTATTAATCCAATTACCTATTACAAATATTTGAGTCCTTGAATGTATTTAATTCTCTAAATCCAGCATTCAATTATCTTATTCCTGGAAAATTGACAGCCCACCTGCTCCTGCTCCAGGATAGCAACAGCTTTCAACACAATTCAAATACTATTACATGATTCACTGAGCTGCAACACAAGGGTATCTACGAAGGGTCAGGCATTATCTTAAGAACATGAAACACAATCCCGGGTAGCACAGTGAGTTAAGCATTAGGTGGCTAATCACAGAGTTGGCAGTTCAAGTCCACCAGCCACTTGGCAGCAAAAAGATGAGGCTGTCAGTTCCAGAAAATATTAACAGTCTCAGAAATCTTACTAGGCAGTTCTACTGTCCTGGCAGTGAGTGATATACTAATAACAGCAGAAAGCTTAATTTAGCAAATAGTACATTAAACATCCACACTTTTAAATACCAGTAACTAAAATATGAAAAAGCTACAAATGAACAGTCAAGGTATCTTTATTCCTAGAAAGGGGGGCTGTGGGTAAATCATTTCAAGTGAATAACAACATTGTTACATAAATAGGTATTTCAAATGTAAATACAGTTTAATTCTTCAATTAAAAAATTTCCACATCGGGGAGGAGATGAGCCAGTCAGGGTGCGAGGTAACAATGATGAGAAATACAACCTTCCTCTAGTTCCTAAAGGTTTCCTCCCCGCTCCCACTACCATGACTCGAATTCTATCTTGCAAGTCTGGCTAGACCAGAGGAGGTACACTGGTACAGATAGGAACTGAAAATACAGGGAATCCAGGACGGATGAGCCCTATAGGACCAGTGGTATGAGTTGCAAAACAGGGTGGGTAAAGGGAGAATGGGTAGGAAAGAGGGAACCGATTACATGGAACTGTGTGTGACCTCCTCCCTGGGGGACAGACAATCAAAAAGTGGATGAAGGGAGACGTCGGACAGGGCAAGATATGACAAAATAACCATTTATAAACTATCAAGGGCTCATGCAGGAGGGGGGAGCGGGGAGGGAGGGGAAAAATGAGGACCTAATGTCGGGGGTTTAAATGGAGAGAAAATGTTTTGAGAAACGATGTACAAATGCGCTTTACACAATTGATGTGTGTATGGATTGGGATAACAGTTGTATGAGCCCCAAATAAAATGATTTTTTTAAAAGAAAAAAAAAAAATTTCCACATTTGAAATTAAAGTAAAAGTAGGGTAATTAATTGTTTGCATTTCTTTTTTTTTTAAATCATTTTATTGGGGACTCAAACATTTCTTAATTGAATGATAACTAAAAAATAGATCATTAATTTAAAAGTATATTTCTAAAATCTGTCATTTTCTAAAATATTAGCAACAAAAGTTTCTCCAATGAGAAAATAAGCTAATTCGCTACACCTGTTTTCATTTCTCCTCACTCAGGTTTCCACTACCTTTCTAATATGATTATACATATAATATCATTCTCATATACCAAATGTGTTAATATAAAGAAATTGAGCTCCTTAAATAGAAATTGTTAAGTTTATAACTATATGTAACACATTTTTGAGTGACATTTGATTACAGGTGAATTTTTGTCCAGCAATAAAAAATATATTTTATATCCGGGGCATTCATCATCAACTGACAAAAGTTGTGAAGCATAAACAATTCAAATTTAAAAGCTATAAAAACATATTCCTGTAACGTTACTTTAAAATTAGTTAAGTAATTTATGAAGGAAAAATAAATTACCCTTAAAAATTTCAAGACTGTTTTGACATCTGAAGAGTTTCAGTAAAACTTAAATCAAATTTTAAAACAATAACAAAAAAACACAAAACATACTGAAAATCCAAAGTCACTGCTATTATGCCTATTTTGACACAAAGCTACCTGGAAAGACAAAGAATTGCCCTTGTGGCTTTCTAAAGCTGTAGATTCTTACTGCAGCAGGAGGCTGCTTCTTTCCGCAGCACAACTGCTGGTGAGTTCAAACTGCTGACCTCCCGGTTAACAGCTGAACGAACACATAACCCACTATGCCACCCGGGCTCCTAAAACACAACGCGAGTAGCCTTTTCTGAAAAATATAGAAAGAAAAAGTTATGGCTACGAAGCTGTGAAAATGTCATGTACATCCGACTACTATCTAAACTGTCCCATTACCCCCTCCCCATATACTTTCTTCTGATTTAATTGGGAATTGAAAAGAGGGTATACTTTAAATATAAATGTATCTCTCACAGAAATTTTAAATTACAACAACATGTAAACCATGTTATATCGTTTATACCACAATAAGGGTGTGAGAACGGGATGAGTAGGTAGAATGAAACTAAAATTATGAACCTAAATTTTAGCCAAATAGACTTTTTAACTCTTCAAAGCTTATTCAAAACCATGGGGTGAGGGGACCAGAAACTGCATTAAAAAAAATTAAAAAAAAAAAATATATATATATACACACACACACACACACACACACACAATTTTATTTTGTGCTCATATCTATGGATACTGCAAGACTAATAACAGGCCAAATATAAAAATTCTTTAAATTAATCTTTGATGAAGAAAAGTAATTCAGAAATTGGAACAACTTTAAAATATTGACTCAATTTCATAGGCAGGAGGAAGGAATGTTAGAAAATTCTTAATCAAAACTAAAGAGACATAGAATTTGAGCTGCTCATGAATACATCAATTAATTAACCGTGAGATCTTTAGTACTAACAAACGAAACAAAACCAAGTAGAGATCCAGAGTCACAGTCAAATCTTTTTTTATATCTAAAAGTTAAACCTGGCTCTTTTATAGTCCTTTGCCAGATTTTTAAAATGTGAAAACTTTTTAAATGTAAATGTAAAAACAAGTAAAATAAAACTAATAATTTCAACTTATAAACTATACCACGTGCGATAAGAATGCTAATGATAAAAACCAGTGTCATATCTCAAACACAAAAGGAAATGATTAAGGGAAAATGGGCTTAACACGGGTTCTGTTGCTGTTGTGGTTGTTCAGCTATCAATTATTACCAGGAAAAAACTCCACAACTCTCCCAGTCCCCCAGAAGGCATTTTGCACAAAAAGAAGTAATGGGCCAACAGCCCCGCTAAGCAGTCACCCTTTGAAAGCCTGCTCGCACATCCCAGCAGACACATGATCAGATTAGAGGAATTGCAAACAGACCTCTGAAACCATTCTTTGTCTAAGCCCAGCCTCTTCTTCCTGTGACGTCCTACAAAGCTAGTCCCTTCCTTTTCACTTCGGAGAAAGCCCAGCACACAATGCTGCTGGCACCCGAGGCGCAGCCTCGCTCCTGCAAGCTCGCACAAGCGTAAGAATTCATTTCGGAACCTTGAAAAGACACTGCTTACTACCTGGGGTCCACGGAAGGAACATAAGAAACAAAAGCCTCACAAGGAGCAAGAAGCGAAGGAGAACCAAGTGGGAATGTGTGCGTCTCCGAAACTGCTTTGGAAAGCAAAATAAGATCGGCAACTTCGATTTAAATATGCCAGAGCGCGAGGGAATATTAACTTTGGAATATTCACCCCGATCACTGAAATACAAGCTTACAAAGCTACTCGACTCCCCGCTGCCTCGGAAGGCAGTTCTTTGATTGGCTTTAGTGACTGCATTTTTAAGAAGTTTTTCTTCGGTTAGCCAAACCCTGGCGTCACGGATCTTCTGGAGACTAGCAAATGAGAATGTCTTTCCATTAAAGAGCCCTGTGGAAACTGCACAGCCACAAGTTTCATGCGGCTTCTGGAGGTTTCGGAGAAAAGGGGAATATTTAGAAAGCCACCCAACAAGTCAGAGAAGTTTCACCCAGATTGGTCCCAATCTGAATGCCAAAGGAGATCTGAACTGACAAAAGGGCCGCGGCTTAGCACATGGAAAGGACCTTTAACATGGTAAGCCTTAACAGCTCCCACTGCCCCTACGATGACTCCTTTAAGTACACTTTGTATGGCTGCATGTTTAGTATGGTCTTTGTGCTTGGATTAATAGCCAATTGTGTTGCGATATACATTTTCGTCTGCATGCTCAAAGTTCGAAATGAAACGACCACGTACATGATTAACTTGGCTATGTCAGACTTGCTTTTTGTCTTCACTTTACCCTTCAGGATTTTTTACTTTGCAACAAGGAATTGGCCCTTTGGAGATTTACTTTGTAAGATCTCAGTGATGCTGTTTTATACGAACATGTATGGAAGCATTCTGTTCCTAACCTGTATTAGCGTGGACCGATTTCTAGCAATCCTCTACCCTTTTAAGTCAAAGACGCTGAGGACCAAACGAAATGCAAAGATCGTCTGCGTCGCCGTTTGGTTCACTGTGCTGGGAGGAAGCGCTCCGGCGGTTTTTTTTCAATCCACCCACTCTCGGGGTAACAATACCTCAGAAGCTTGCTTTGAAAATTTCCCAGAAGCCACATGGAAGACGTATCTCTCCAGGATCGTTATTTTCATCGAAATAGTGGGGTTTTTTATCCCTCTAATCCTAAACGTGACTTGTTCCAGTATGGTGCTAAGAACTTTAAATAAACCTGTTACATTAAGCAGAAGCAAAGTAAGCAAAACGAAAGTTTTAAAAATGATTTTTGTACACTTAGTCATATTCTGTTTCTGCTTTGTGCCTTACAATATCAACCTTATTTTATATTCTCTTATGCGAACCCAAACGTTTGTGAATTGCTCAGTAGTGGCTGCAGTCAGGATCATGTACCCAATCACTCTCTGCATTGCTGTTACAAACTGCTGTTTTGACCCTATAATTTACTACTTTACGTCGGACACAATTCAGAATTCAATAAAAATGAAAAACTGGTCTGTTAGAAGAAGTGACTCCAGATTCTCAGAAGCTCACGGCTCAGAGAATTTTATTCAACACAACCTACAAACCTTAAAAAACAAGATATTTGACAGTGACTCTACAATATAAGCTGTTTGAAAGGAAACGACGGGAACTTCGCTGAAATAGAACATACTAGCTCCTTTAACTGTGAAAAGTGTTTTCTTGGACTGTTTTTCCACCTCCAAAAGAAGATAAAAACATAGACATTTTGAAGTTTTGGGTATAAAGAGAAATGCATTCCCTTCTTGTATATGTTCCATTTTATATTTCTGAGCCATTTAAATTTGTACCTTCATTAAAAATATCCCTAAGTTGTTTAAAATGTAAACGTGACTGATTTAAATCATGTGGTGACCATCTGTATTGTCGTGAATGATTTTGTTTACTAAATAATTTATACATATTAGAAGTTTTCTTTTATAAATATTTTCATTCAACATATACCTAATTTCTATTTTAAATTAAAACTACTGGTTATATTTTTAAACTTGTAATAACATACGTGAAAATGGAGAGCAACTGAAACAAACTTAAAAATATTTCCCTCAAATAGCTTAAAATGTAGCCTTTTACAGAATGTTGACCTAACAACACTACCTAAGGGATCTTGGGCAGTTTACTCTCACGTAAGGGCTTTTGTTTTGTAGACAATTTATAAAAAGTAGCTGCTACCTAACTTCATGGCACACTTTAAAATTAAAATTTCAAACCATTTTTTGAATAGAACTCTCAATCTCAAAGTGATAGATATGCCATGAATTTAGAATTTTTGCCAACTAAAAAAACACAAACCTCCAGACATTCAATGTGAATTCTAAGTATTTTAGATTAGACAACACAGGAAATGAAATACCACAGTTGATTTTTTTTTTTAAACCTAGAAAGTGATACAAAGGTTTGCATTCGTCAAAATAAATATGATACATTTTTTTTAAACTTCCATTTTTTGATACGTCTAAGTCAAATTGTGAATAGCTGGAATATATAACTTCAAAAATTTTTAGAGGTTTTATTTGTCAAATTATGAAGGACATCGTTCTTTACATTAAAAAGCAGTACGACTACTTATATAACTTTGTTTTTCATTTTACCAAAGAGAAAACTTTTAATTCAGATGTGAAATATTAATTGTACTAAAACTTGATCTTCTGAAGTATCTTTCATTTCTAATTTCAAAGTCAACTGGGAAAAAATGCTTTCTAATACAGAAAAAGGCATGTAGTTTAATGCTTGAGTGCTTTGTGAGATTTAGCATTGAAGATCTGATTTTTACTGTCTTAATCTTCCACATTTTCAAAGAAAATGAGCCCTTTACATCAGCAAAATATATATCCCCACTGAGAAGTACTTGATCTCTAAGAGTGACACGTGACTAGTCAGAAACCGGAGCCACTGCCTTTAGTTTCTATCATTTCGTGCCCCTGATAAAGGAGCTGCCCTGCTTTTGTAAAAAGTAAGGTACTGTTGCCTACGGGGAATTAAAATCAACAACAAGGAGGACTTAGAGATACAGGGGATGTTGGTGCAACAGCAATCTAGCTGAGAGGAATTACTGAGAGGCAGAAGAACGGTGAGTGTGATGGTGGGACAGCAGGAAGGTAAAAGGAAACAGGAAAGATCTAGGAAGCAAAGCTATGGATAGGTGTGTATGAATGTAAATACATATGGCAATACACTGAGGTAGGGGGCAGACTTCAGACTCTGCTCATGCCCTCCCTCAATGTCAGAACACTTTGTTCTAACAAACTGGCATTCTGCAATGCTCACCCTCCTGGCACAATCGCTGAAGACAAAATGGGTGCATAAGCAAATGTGGTGAAGAAAGTTGATGGTGCCTGGATATAGTGTCTGGGATCTTAAAAACTTGACGCTAAATAGGCTGCCATCTAGCAGAGAAGCAACAAGCCCCATGCAAGAAGCGATCATGAGGTATCAACGGGATCAGGTAACAGGCATCAGAAGACCCAAAACAAACCAAAAACCATGTTGTTGAGAATGAGAGGGGTTGGAGCAGTGACCCAAAACCCATCTGTACACAGTAGGGCATCCTCTCATAGAAAGGTCACAAGGAAGGGATGAGTTAACAGGGGGCAGTATAGCACTGATGAAACACACACTATTCCTCTGGCACCTTAAGGCTTCCTCAGCCCCCACTATCATGACTCCAGTCCTGCCTTTCATTGCATGCTAGACCGGAGCATGTGCACAGGTACAGATAAAAGATAAACGCTCAGGACACACGTAACCCAGGAACAGGAATGGGAGTAGCAATACCAGGAGGGGAGAAAGGGGAAACCCACTGCAATGATCAGCACTTAGCCACCTCCACCCTCCCAGGTAGACAAACAACAGAAGCCATGGGGGAAGGGAGGCAGCGGTTGGTGTGAGACATGAAAATAATAATTTGTAATTTATCAAAAGGTCATGAGGGTGTGGGGGAGGAAGGGAAGGAAAAAAGAGGAGTTGATACCAGGGGTTCAATAGAAAGTAAATATTTAGAAAATAATGATGGCAACATATATACAAATATGCTTGATATAATTGATGTATGGATTGTTATGAGAGCTGTAAGAGTCCCCAATAAAATGATCTTTTAATTAAAAAATAATGATAATATACCACCTTCTAGTACATAAACTATATTTTAGGGACTACAAGCCACTCTATCCCAAGATTTCACAAAGGAGGGACGAAACACGATAGATACTCGAGTATAAGCTAACTCAAATATCAGCCAAGGCACCTAATTTTATGACAAAAACTGCATTAAAAATGTGCTGAAAAACTTGACTTATACTCAAGTATATATGGTAAATCGTACATTTAAGAATCGCTTTGCGGCTGGACTGGAAATTGAATTACCCATTTACAATGCGATTTCTAATAAAAAATTCCAAATTAAAAAGGGCTAGTGAACAAACGTAAGTAAGCAAAACATATTTAAATTGACTAGAATATTTAATAATAATAATACTAACAATATTTTCTAAAGGTCAACACATACATGCTTAAAATCACGTATTCTCATATTTCTGTTTTATCACATTCTTCATCTTTGTACCCGTTTGCTATTCCCTAACTGCTATTTTATAAAAGTCTAAACCACCTCAATGATACAAGGCAACTGACACCACCATTAACAGTAGCATAAGAAATTAACTGTAGGAAAGCTTCTGTCTCTCAGAAAGAATACTTCAATAGCCTCTTATAGCTGCTGGGGGTTTCAAACTGCCCACCCTAAGGATCACAGCCCAAAGGGTAACCACTATAAAAACAGAATCCAACCCCAGGAAAGGGGATACTGTATGAATTTAATAATCTGTTTTGAAACTCAAACTTTGCTATACTCATGTAGATTCAAACACTGTAAGTAATTTGGAAATTAATTATAATTTAGGTAAATGTTAATGGCATGAAATAAATCTATATATTGCCTACTTGTAACCAAGTTATAGGACCAATGTATTGAATTCCAATATTTTTCTATCAAAATGCCTCCTGGCAAATTCACCATTTAGAACAGAAAAGGGCATTGGACACAGTCCTTGAACTTCAGGCTCGGGTAGACTGAACAGGCCATCTACTTCTGTAAAGTGTTAGAGCGTCAGAAACGCACGGGGCCAGTTCCACTCTGTCCTTTTGGGTCGCGATGAGACAGTATTGACTCGATGACAGTGAGCTTGTGGAAACTGAAGAAAAGGCTTCATAACCAACACAAGTTCAAAAAACAGGTTATGGTGGAGTCAAGATAAGAACTCGGTTGTTGGAGAGGGACATGATCAGAGCACACAAGAGCAAATGAAAGGGGAGGGAGAGAAAATGGAGCACATCCTGGCCCACCAAGCCCTGAGGACGATATTCCTGCTCAGAGCAGCCAATGCAGAGAGGGCCATAGGGCCGGCCCTCACTGACCCATAGTGCTACGGGAGACGACACTGGAGACAGTGCAGGAATTGTGCCCAATCTGACCCCACCATCCCGAGGCGGAACACTAAGGCCGAGCAGCAGAATGCAAGGGGAGCAATGGGTCCCCAGGGAAGACCAAAAATAGACTTTGGGGCCAGGGCATGGCACCCCATCAGACTCAGCCGCAAAACACTCCTAAAGGCCAACAAGTAGTCCTTGAACTACTTATAGGCTTTTCTCTTTTTGTCACTGGTTTTGTTGTTGTTTTATTTTCTTTTGTTGCTTTGTTTTGCTGTCTTGTTTTTGTGCATATTATTATCTCTGCATGTCTATCTAGATAAGATAGGTGGGATAAATAATCTGGAGGAGAAAACAAAGGGATCAATGGTTCTGGGAGGAAATGGAAGGGGGGCCGGGGGAAAGGAAGTGGGTGTTAACAAACCCAGGGACAAGGGAACAATAAGTGACCTAAAATCGATGGTGATGAGCATGTAGGAGGCCTGATAGGGCAATGTAGCTGAGAGGAATTACTGAAACCCAAATGAAGGCTGAACATGATAGTGGGATAAAGAAAGTAAAAGGAAATAGAGGAAAGAACCAGGAGGAAAAGGGCATTTATAGAAGTCTAAATATAGGCATATACCTATGTAAATATATTTATATATGATAATGGAGAAATTGATCTATGTACAGTGAACCCTCGCCATTTCGTGCTTCGACTTCCGCGGCTTCACTCTATTGCGGTTTTTGCGTAACAGCACCCACTGCCTACACCAGCTCCTTCAGAGGAAAAAGACGGCGACCCACCTGTAGAGTACATCCCTTAAGTCATTCGGCGACCCACCTGTAGAGTACATCCCTTAAGTCATTTCATAGGCTATTGATTACAGTATTTGTAAGAACTATGTATAATAATACTGTATGTGAAATATGTAATACT